ATATATATATATATATGATGTATATGTATATGTATATGTATATATGTGTGTGTGTATATATATATGTGTGAGATTTTTATATATAAAAGAAATCTCACACCGGAAAAAACAAAAATCCTTTTCTACCTTTGTACTCTGATTTCCCCTTTCACCCTTCTGCCGCCTGCCCTTCCCTGCCACTGCTCTTCATCACTCCTAAACATTCACTTCTTTAATTTTATAGTGAATTCATGGTGGAGGAACATGAACTCCAAAAGGAAAAGATCCAGGAGGACTATAATGATAAGTACTGGGATCAAAGATACACCATTGTCCAGCAACAGATTCCCTCCTTCCTGCAAAAGGTTGCTGATAAAATACTTAGCACAGGTAAGCATTTAGTTTTTGGTGAAAAGGAAAGGTGGCAAAGGCTCCTGAAAAACAATACTCTTAAGCACCTAAAAAATGTGTCGCTATGTGTGGACTCACTTTTGGCTCCATCACAAGGCAGAGCAAATTAAGCCTTGATTGATGTAAAGTTTTTATTCAGTCTATACTCATCTGAGTTATTCCTTTCTCCCTTCAGGGAAGTACTTAAATGTGGTCCGGGAATGTGGCCATGATGTTACTTGCCCAGTGGCAAAGGAGGTTGTTTATACCTTGAAGGAGCGTGAATATGTGGAACAGATAGAGAAGGCCTATAATTATGCCAGCAAAGTCTTGCTTGATTTCCTGATAGATGAAAAGGAGCTTGTGGCTCACTTAAGGTTTGTGGCAATCATGATTTAATTGGGGTAACTGCCGGAATCCTGACAGTTCGCTTCATTTGTTATATTCAGAAAGTATGGTTTTTACCTTGCTTTGCCTAAGAGAATGATTCAGGTAGGCAGGGGAAAGTGCTGGCTTTTTTTAGCATTTCTCCTCGTAGAAAATACACACTTTTTTTGTTGAACAGGTCCATCAAGCACTACTTTCTTATGGACCAAGGTGACTTTTATGTCCATTTCATGGATTTGACAGAAGAGGAGTTGAAAAAACCAGTAGATGATATCATTCCGACTAGATTGGAAGCTCTTCTGGAATTAGCATTACGTATGAGCACAGCTAACACTGACCCGTTTAAAGATGATTTAAAGGTAAACTCTTTGCAGCCTGAAATGAAGACAAGATGTTATAAAGACATAAAATAAAGACAGATGTCAGATCCACAGATAAAAACTGGGAGGTCTAGATAGTTATCTGTTTCTGCTTTTATCGAGCCACTAATATAAAACTTTTGGGACAAAAAAAATCTGAAGCAACCA